TAACTGTTTTATATTAGGATACTCATAGAAATATATCAAGTGGAATACATTTATATTAGCAAAAGTAAATGGGCCCAAAATTTTCTTTTATTACATATAAACATTCTTTATACAAACTAAAACTATCATTTACAAAATGCCATTAAAACAGCGGACAATGCAACTATTGCTCCTCGCTTGCCGACGCCTATCCGACCGCGTTCTCACATAGATCCTATAATCACAAAGAAAAACAACGGGGTGAGCATAAAATAATGCTCAGTAAGTAAATTCTCTACTCGACTGTCCCCGTAACTCTTTCTCTTAATTCTTTCCTTATACTTTTTCTCATCTCATTTAGTTCCTCTTTCACACAGCTCATGTTACTTAACTTCTGCCATATGTCACGGCCTCATCTTACCAGAGGCACGGCCGAGTGGAGTTCACACAACACCATCCCACTCTTCGTGACTGTCAAGTGGAGATCACAAAGCACCTACCCGCTCTTAGTAACTACCAAGTGGAGATCACAAAGCACCAACCCGTTTTTAGTAACTATCGCGTGGAGATCACAAGTATTTTTCTTATTCTCTCTACTCTTAGAGAAGTTCATTCACAAAGTTCTCTACTCTTTCTCAAGCCACTTCTCAATGCACAATTAATCATCTCCACTAATGCACTCATGAAATGCCAACATGCAATGTTGCAAGAATTAAGGTTTACTACTCATGCTCATGATTCTCTTAGGCGTTTCATCAAACAACTAATGTGCATACATAAACTCTACTTTATCTATGGTTCTACTCCTCTCTTAAACCATCCAAAACGGGAGGAAACTCCCTCACAAAGCTATAATTCCTTTCATAAAATAACACTTCCAAAAAGATTTCTCCTCCAATTTCATCTCAAACTACATCCTCAACACATATCTCATTTCACATAATTTGAGTGTATTTAACAACTACAAAGCAAATGGTCATCTCCATCTCAAATCCCAATAACATAACATATATCATGCATACACAATTTCCATTAAATCTCTACTCAAAAGATTTCTCAAATATCAACTTGGATTGGGATTTACTTACCTTGTAATGGAGAGATCTTACAAGTACTTCCCTTTCCTTTAGATTGCTTGTCTCTTCTCTACTCTTTAAACAATAAAACCATAAGACTTCAATGTACAAATATATGCAAAACTTCACATCTAAATCAAGAATCCTTACCTTAGGATGCCTTAGACTAATGTTCTACCAAGATCCAACTAAAAGCCCTCAAAGATCCTTGAAAGATGGAAGGAAGAGTTGAGACGAAATGGTGACAGAGTATGGCGGTGGAAGAAGAATGAATGAAGGGTTTACTACACTTAACCCCTTTTTAGCTCAAAATATCTTCATTCATTCCCATATTGCCCTTGCTCTTTCTTGAAAATTTCATCCTTGACCTTTGATTCATTACAATCACACCCCCACTCTAACATATTCTCCATAAAATTTTTTTACAATTCACTCCCCATTTTTCCTGCTAATTATGGGTAGAAAGGTCATTTTGCCCCTATGGAAGAATATCTAGAAACTTTATTAAACGTTCCCTTCCGTCCCGTCACCACGCGAAGAACAAAGCAATAAATTCGTACAACATAATTTGCTACGTACCTCAGTGGGGCGTTACAGATCTAGCCCCTTGAAGGGTAGGCCTCACATAAAAAAAAAAAAAAAAAAAAAAAAAAAAAAAAAAAAAAAATTATTTATATAAGCTTATAAAAAATTCTATTAATATATATATACATATAGGCTTATATTCGTATTTTAAAAGAATGAAAAATATTATACATATATCCAAACTCATAAAATACTTGTTATTAATATGTATATTTCACGCCTACATCATATTAAAAGTTTAAAACTCTCTCTACTCTTTTTTATGTGTATCTGTTTTTTATGATTTTATCCCAAAAATTCTTTATTCTCTTTTTCACTTTCTCTATGTTATTCGTTCTTAAAACTTTTAAAGACTGAAATTGTTGAAGCTTTCACTCATCAAGGTGCCACAATTAGCTTCGTTTTCTGTTTTCTCAATTTCAGGTATATGTATTGCTCATTTCATTTTAGTTTATTCTAGGGTTGAATCATGCTTATTTTTTGGAGGATTTTTATTCTTTTGATGGAAAAAAGCATTAATCTTGTGAGTTTGTTTTGTATTTTATGTTTAAGAATGTTCTTGCTTTCCCAAATTAAACCTTAAGCATATTTTACTGAACGTTATTCTTCACCCTTTACCCATCACTTTCCTATATTTCAAACGTCACTGTTTAGCTACTCAAAATTATTAAAGAAGTTTGAGTTATTATCTATATTTATACTAAGAAAATTTCCTCTTTTTTTATTAAGTCATATTAAAAGTCAAGGCAGTATTAACTTAATTTAAGTTTTGGTTGACTTTAACTTAGGCTAGACCTGATCAAAGTCATGAAAATTTATATTATAATCTTTGAAAGAAAAAAAATTAAAAAAAAAAAAGAGAAATAAGAAATTTGTGTAGAATATTTTCGGTGGATTGTGATTGTTGTAAACTCTTTTAATTATATTGGATTTAAGTGGATCGTTAGATTCCCATGATCTTTTACTCTTTTTAATTGAAAAGGTTTTTCTACGTAAAAATTTTCCTGTGTTTCTTCGTGAATTGAATGTTATTTTCAACATAATTTGCTCAAGGTTTTGCTTCTCATAGATTTATTCAAGTGGTAAACTATTGTGTTGTTATATTTTTTTCTTTCAGATTATTGATATTATATTATTTCATTTGCTTAAGATTTGGTGATTTTTTAAAAATTTTCACTAATTGTTTGACAAACAATGGTGAAGCCATGAGGCCTCCTCTAGACAAAAATCATGGATCCATCACTGCTAACACCGAGCACTATCAAGATCCAAAGGAGGCGATCTACAAGACAGCATCGACGTATCAGTCGTCGGTCACATCGTTTAAGTAGAGTAAGCTAACAAAATTCTAGTTGATCTTTATCAATATCCTACTCTTAAACAATGCTGCCGGCAACTAATACATTGGCACAGTCGTATAGATCGCCTCCCCCTTGATCTTGATTGTGTCAGTGGTGTCACTAGTAATAGCTGCCATTTAGCAACAATGTTTGGTCAGAATTTTTATTTTTTTTAATATTTGAACTTTTTTATTTTTAGCTAATTATTTTTAATGTATTTTTAAAATTAAAAGAATTTATGAACAAAAAAACCTATTTTTGTCAATTTACATATACTTAAATCCACTCTCTCAAAAGTAAAAAGTAATTTAAATTTTAAAATTTATCAAAACAAACACCTCATTCAATTTATCTTTTTTTTTTTTTAATTTTTTTTTGATATTTTATAGAAGTTTTATAATATTTTTCAGGAGGTTTTTGATAATTTCAGGGTATTTAATTCTTTATGATGGTCGTTAAAACGTTTTTAGTTTAAGTATCTCTGCCAAGGCAAATGAAATTAAACCTAAGAAAGAGGATAAAAAATAATTGGAGAACAAAACCTAAAAAGTAAAATTGGCAGGTTGGGAACATCACATGGCAAATTGGGAACATCACATGGCAAATTGGTATATGGACCAAGAAAAAGCTGCCACATAGGAACCACAATTTGGAAATAATTTTGACATTTGATAATTTTTAACCGGTTGGACTTGGAAGTATTAGTATTAGAGTTGTGGCATAGAGAAAAAGTAGAATTGACAAGAAGTGTGAATTTAGAAGAAGACAAGTGAAAGTCACACTGGAAGTGGAGGTGTTGGGTGGGTGGGGGCCCAAAAGACATTTGACAACTCTTTGTTTTGTTTTCGTAGAATTTTATTTCAGTCTCGTGAATTATCTTTTTTGGATCTTCTGATATTAAGTAGTTATTTATAAATTATATTGATGGATATATTTTATATAGATTATAGTGATATGATAATGTGTTTGGTTTATTATTTTGGGTAAGATTTCAAAAATGGTCTTCAAAATACATATTTGTTTTTCTATTATGAAAATCCAATTTTATTCTATTCAATTATTTGTAAACCCTCTAAGTTTGTTAATTTAACTAAACACCCTTAACAAAAAAAAGTTTAAAAATTGATAAAAACACCCACACCCATCCACATTTGTCAGATTTCAGTCATCACCGCCAGAAGGTTACCGAAATCTAGCATAATGGCGTACTACCAGCTAGATCTGGTTGAAAAATGACAGATCTACGACCAACGGCCAGATCTTTGATCGTAGCTGATCGTCAACGACGACCAAATGTGGCCAGATCTGGCCGTGATCTAGCACTTTTGGCCAAATCCATGGTGGATCTGACTGGAAAATGTCATATCAGCACACGACCAGCTAGATCTAGCTGATCGTGCACTATTACTGTGACTTCCACCATCCTCCAGCGATGGTGGCTTGCTGTCAGCATTTAATGGGGGGGTGAGGATATTTTTATTAATTTTTAATATTTTATTATAAGGATGTTTAACTAAATTAACAAGCTTAAAAGATAATTTTGATAATAATTCAAATCATACCTCATAATAACAATCCAACTCAATTTTTTCAAAAATTCTACTCAAAATAATAAAACATGACTTTTAACATAAAGTTATTGGAATGTGGTAATATTGAGTTTGACAAGTAATAGATTGACATAACATAAATCATAAATGTAAAGATAAGTCACGAGAGGCCACCGATACTGGCTTTAGATTCCAGACAAATCACAGACTTGATATTCCATTGTAATTCTAAACGCCCATGCCCACTTGTTCCACCAATTGTCTTTTAAATATGAATATAAATCAAAATTCTCATTTTTATAAGTTTTTTTCTGGTTGATTCAAAGTATTTTGGCATTCTTATAAATAAATAAATAAATTTTATTGTTTATGGAGTTTCTAAAGAAGGTTAACCTTCAAAATGAATCTACTACTTATACTAGTCATCTTAACTTGAGTTCCACTTTCTTGTTTTGGGTATTCACATGACAAATAATAATACATAGAACTCTCTCTCGTGACCACTGTCATATCACATCCTTTTCGGATTGCCTTCCGCAAAATCTAGCACTCATTCCCTCTACATTTCTTCAATTTCTTAATGCTATATATGGTTTCCCTTTTCATCTTATAATAGAATATTTTCTTAACAATCACTCAGAAAATGTATCAGTTTGATATCAAACTCCTCGTATATTTGCTTCTTGTTGTGGCTTCAGGCTACTGCATGGCCAACGATGGCGCTTCTATTCAACTAAATGATGATGTTTTAGGCCTCATTGTTTTCAAGTCAGAGCTTAAAGACCATTCTTCGTTTCTTGAATCTTGGAGTGAAGATGACAACTCTCCATGTTCATGGCGATTCATTCAGTGCAATCCAGTGAGTGGCCGTGTGTCTCATGTCTCTCTTGATGGCTTGGGCTTATCAGGAAAAATCGGAAGAGGGCTTCAAATATTGCAGCATTTGAAGGTACTTTCGCTTGCACATAACAATTTTAGTGGCAATATCAGTCCTGAACTTGGTCTCATCAATGGCCTCGAAAGACTTAACCTCAGTCACAACAGTCTCTCAGGCCTCATCCCTTCAAGGTTTATGAATTATACTTCAATAAAATTCTTAGATCTTTCCCAGAACTCGCTCTCAGGACCACTTCCTGATGACCTCTTTGGTGAATGTTTATCCCTGCGCTATCTTTCTTTGGCCGGTAATAATCTTGTAGGACAAATTTCTAGTACTCTCTCTAGATGTTCGTCGTTAAACACTCTCAATCTTTCAACCAATCATTTCTCTGGCGAACCGGATTTCGCTTCAAGGATTTGGTCATTCAAAAGGCTGAGGACTTTGGATCTTTCTAGCAATGCCTTTTCAGGCTCAATTCCTGAAGGAGTGCTGATTCTTCATAACTTGAAAGAGCTACAACTAAAGGGTAATAAATTTTCCGGACCTCTTCCAAAAGATATTGGATTTTGTCCACACTTGATCAGGTTGGATTTGAGCAATAATTTTTTTAGTGGGGAATTGCCAGAGTCTTTTAGGATGCTGAATTCTTTGAGCTTTATCAATGTATCAAATAATATGTTGACAGGAGAATTTCCCCAATGGATTGGAAATTTAAGTAGTCTGGAATTTGTTGATTTCTCCAACAATGGTTTAACAGGAAGCCTACCTTCTTTAATGGGCAACTTGAAGTCACTTAATTACTTGAGTTTGTCGAATAATAAATTAACAGGATTTATTCCAAACTCATTGGTTGAATGTACAAAGTTATCAGTGATTAATTTGAGGGGAAATGGCTTTAACGGTAGCATACCAGAGGGCTTGTTTGATTTGGGATTGGAAGTGGTAGATTTTTCAGAAAACGGACTGATGGGTTCCATGCCACGAGGTTCAAGTAAACTCTTTGAATCTTTACGGATACTTGCTTTGTCAAGTAATAATCTTGCTGGAAATATTCCTGCAGAAATGGGTCTTTTTGCTAATTTGAGATACTTGAATTTATCATGGAATCATCTTCACTCAAGGATGCCTCCAGAGCTGGGATACTTTCAGAACCTGACAGAATTAGATCTTCGGAATAATGACTTGTATGGTTCAATTCCTGAAGATTTATGTGAATCTGCAAGTTTAGGAATTCTTCAGTTGGATGGCAATTCATTGGCAGGTCCAATTCCTGAGGAGATTGGGAATTGCTCTTCTCTTTATTTGCTGTAAGTCTCAACCCTTTTTTTTTTTTTTTTTTTTTAAAACATAATACTATAAGAAAAATGAGTTTTCCGGACACAAATGTTGGCGTCGGAATAAACAACCTCTCCCGATGAAATACGACGTTAGGGGAGTTATTTATCTTTCCCGGTGCAACGCAACAATGGTATCATAGTAGGCCTGGATATCTTTTAAAACCTGTTGCGATGCAGAATCAGCGTCACCATAGGTCTTCGAGATATCTTATATAATTACACGACTTTGAATGAAAAATTTAAGAATACTACCTTACTCTGACTTTAAATTTTTATATGCAGGACTTTGTCACACAATAACTTAAGTGGTTCAATTCCAAAATCCATTTCGAAGTTAAACAAGCTGAAGATTCTGAAGTTGGAGTTTAATGAGCTAAGTGGAGAGATACCACAAGAACTAGGAAAATTGGAAAATCTTCTAGCTGTAAATGTTTCATATAACAGACTCATAGGAAGGCTCCCTGTTGCTGGTGTATTTCCCAGCTTGGATCAAACTGCATTGGAGGGAAATTTAGGCCTCTGCTCACCTTTGTTAAAGGGACCTTGTAAATTGAATGTTCCAAAGCCTCTTGTTCTTGACCCAAATGCATATGCCAATCAAATTGATGGTCACAGGCCAAGAAGTGAATCCTCAAATCCAAAATCCAGTCGTCGCATGTTCCTTAGTGTTTCTGCAATTGTTGCGATTTCTGCAGCTGTTATAATTGCATTTGGAGTGGTAGTAATTAGTCTATTAAATGTATCAGCCAGAAGGAAACTTGCCTTTGTTGATACTGCCCTGGAAAGCATGTGCTCAAGCTCTTCGAGGTCTGGAAATATCACTGCCAGTAAGCTGATTCTGTTCGATACAAGATCATCACCGGATTGGATCATCAACAATCCTGAAGCCCTCCTGAAAAAGGCGGGGGAGATTGGCGAAGGAGTCTTTGGTACTGTATACAAGGTACCACTGGGGGCAGAAGGAAGAATGGTAGCAATCAAAAAGCTTGTTACATCAAACATAATCCAACATCCTGAAGACTTTGAACGAGAAGTTAGAGTACTGGGAAAAGCAAGGCACCCGAATTTGATATCCCTGGAAGGCTACTATTGGACACCTCAATTACAACTTCTAGTCTCAGATTATGCACCAAATGGTAGCTTGCAAGTCAAGCTTCATGAAAGACTCCCTTCAACTCCACCGCTTTCTTGGACAAACAGATTCAGAGTAATACTTGGAACAGCTAAAGGACTTGCTCATCTGCATCATTTCCGTCCGCCTATAATTCACTACAACATAAAACCCAGCAATATCTTGCTTGATGAGAACTTCAACCCCAAGATTTCGGACTTTGGCCTCGCGAGATTGTTGACGAAGCTTGATAAACATGTGATGAGCAATAGGTTTCAGAGTGCAGTAGGGTATGTAGCACCAGAATTGACATGCCAGAGCCTGAGGGTGAATGAGAAATGTGATGTTTATGGATTTGGGGTGCTGATACTTGAGGTTGTGACAGGGAGGAGGCCAGTTGAATATGGAGAAGACAATGTGGTAATATTAAGTGACCATGTGAGAGTAATGTTAGAGCAAGGGAATGCGTTGGAATGTGTGGATTCAGGCATGGGAGATTATCCAGAAGATGAGGTTTTGCCAGTGCTCAAATTGGCCCTGGTTTGCACTTCTCAGGTGCCATCAAGCAGGCCTTCCATGGCTGAAATCCTCCAAATTTTGCAAGTCATCAAGACCCCACTTCCTCAAAGAATGGAAATGTTCTAAGAACATAATTTCTTAATTTGACCTGTTGACTTTATCGTTATTTTTGTTTAAATTGGTGTGTTGTACCCTTATCGGTTGTAGTATATTTAAACTTGGATGGAATATACCAGTTGTTTTTCAAGTTAAAAAGAGGTTTATTATTATTATTATTATTATTTATTATTATTTTCTCAAAACGAGACTCACAACAAACATACAAAACAATATGGTTCAATCAAATGAATCATTGTTTAACTAACCAGTTATCGATAACTTAATGATGCGTGTTTCCTACAACATGTAAATGTAGCAAGTATACTAGTCACATAAGTAATAGAGTGATGATGAGTATCGTTCCCACGAGGATAGTGTTACTAAATACCGATTTCCCTAGTTTAAATCCTAATTGAAGAAAAATTAAATTAGATTTATGAAAAATTAACAACTAATACAAATTAACAAAATAAAAATGAATGATAATGAAATTAAAGCAAAACCCAACAACTTAACTAATTCAACATGCTAAAAAATGCTAAGGTGTTGATTCACCTATACTTAACCCAAATCATATAATCTATTACCCAAGTTCTAATTCCTTGATTGAAAATCGAATTCCCTAAGTTGTAAAATATACCTTCTCAGGCTACATTTCCCTACTTATCCCTATTAAGCTTCCGCACCCAACAAAATGAAAATTAATAGTTGAAAGTTTTTTAAGCTTTATAGAACTCTATCTAGATTTCATAGATCGCTAAACCTATCTCTAGCGTTTGCTTAATCTACGATATTTATCCCAAGAGGCACAATCACAAATCACTTCTCAGTCTCATTGTAACAGCACACATTTGAATGATGATCAAACATCCAAAAGTCATGAACAAAGAGATAACACACTAATCAAAAATTAACCAAAGTAAATCAATTCATATAAATTTGAATCATTGTATCAAGGTTACATCAAACCCTAGCTAAACAACTCAGTTCATACTCAAAAACGAAATAAAAGAACAAAAATAAACTGAATCAAGATTCATCATTGAAAAACAAGCAAAAGATGGAGAATCTTCTCTAATTTGAAGCTCAAATCTTCATAATCTTCTCCTTCCATGAGCTGCCTCCCAAATGACGAACCAAGACTCTTTTCTCTTCCTTTTCGCTCTAATTTATACCTCTCTCACTTAAGGATCAAGCCCTAGCAAGCCAAAACGCATCTTTTTATTTTTACATCTGATGCAGTTTCGCCGCGACAATGACTTTCAGGCCAAATATGAGCATGATAGAGTCTGAATCTGGAAAAGTGTTAACATATGAATTGTAGCCCTTTAAATTATCCTTCTGGTCGTTCAGATCAGCCCAATCTGAGGTCTACAGCTCAAGTTATGGCAGAAATATTGAAGCACGTCCAAAGACTTTTTTTCTCAGTTCCAATGTACTTTTCACGATTTCAAACCAAGTTTCCACCCTTGTCCAATCAGAATTAGGAAACCCAAAACATGAAAGTTGTAGCTCTTCTTCTTAGCTTTCCAAAGCTTCTAAATTCAGGTCATTCCAAGTTTGCAAGCTCAAGTTACACATTTACGTTCAAAACTGTCATTTATGCTCAAATCTCGTTTAGACTTGCAAAGACAAATTAATATAATTAGGTAGCAATTATGACCCAAATTGTATGAAAAGTATCATAAATCCTATAAAAATTCAATGCAAAATCACAGTGTAAAATATGATTCACTTAACAATGAATTCCAGTTCTTTTCCACATTCATTGGAGACTTCGTCCATGTTTCTGTTTACAAATATGACATTTTCAGAGCATTTCTAATAATATCAAGCATTATTCATATTTTGGCATTGATTAGCGTAATATATGCCAATTACTGGATTAGCATTATTCAGATCACATTAATTTTTCGGGACACATTACTTTTTCGCTAACAAAACCCTGGACATGTAATTAACCCATATATTCAAAGTTATAACAAAAAATTAACTTATTTCTACAAACAACTTTGATTTCAAACAAACTGCCTTACAAAATAGCAAAGGATGATGTAAAAAAAAAGGACGGGTAAAAGTAAAAGTAAGAGAGGATCCGCTTATATCATCAAAATTACAAATAAGAATCAAGATATCCATAGGTGTGCCTCTTATTATACTGAAGTAAACTAGCATAAGTCCTGTCCCATATTCCTATAAATAAAGACTCGTCATCTGGACTAAGAGATACTCCCGATATCTCACCGAAGAAATCTATCTCTTGCTGCATTTTGAAATCTCCCTTGGTACTATACACATGCACAAAGTCTGCAGGTTCGGCAACGACCATGAACTGTCCATCCGATGAGAAGCGAACTGATCGGATGGCCCCTAAGTTTCCTTTAAGAGTTGCAACTGGCACAGACAGCTTCCTTATATCCCATACTCGGCAGGTCTTATCCTGATTCCCTGTAGCAAAAATGCGTCCATCTGGGTGCCATGAAGATGCAAAAGAGTAATCCTGGTGACCAACCACTGTGGCAACAGTCTGAAATCATCAAACAAGAGATTCTCATTGTCAATAAAACTACACACTACACGATCCACCTTACAAGTCTATTCAAATAATTGCTTATAAGGTTGGAATTCAGCTACTAATAAAAAGCTAAAAAAACAAAATGTCATCTGTGAGACTCATGTTGCCAAACATCTCCATTGCTAAACGGAAGTCATAAATGACAGAAATGATTGCTTCCAAAATCTTCAGAAAATGAAACACAGACACAACAAATGTTTATAAATTTGGCTAAATTTCATTTGGCCAGCAGTTATTTTGAAGCGATTAAAATACATAAAGCTTCAACTGGCTGCAAATAAATTTCAAACAAAAACCATCCTTCTATTTCATGACTAAGGCTATTATAAAGAATGCCCCCTAAATTCCAACGAGGGGAATGCTTCCTAAACCAAACCATTAAAGTGACTGAGGAGAGTAGATGCAGCAGGAAAAGGAAAATGGTTTCAGTGATTGAGAAATTTGAATTTTTTTTCATAAAAACAAAATAAGTACATATATTAACAATAGTAAAAGACAGAATTTTACCAATAAATTCCAAACTTGTCATTTCATCAACACCAAAATATTTCTTCAAAATAAAGAAATTTGCATCTGAATTATATCAAGCCAAATCCAATATCCAATTAGGAAAGAATACATACCTTCCCATTTTGTGAATCAATAAGCAATGCATCTTTGTGATCTCCAACAACAACAAAAATCTTGCAATCAGGACTCATTGATGTATGCTGTGCATCAAAACAGAGTTAGTCATGAGAAAAAGATATCATGCCAGGATCATAGGAGCTCTAATTACCACCAACAACATAGCCTTTGTTGATTCATAGAATCAATAACTTGACAAACGAAATCTAACTTTTTTTTTTCCATTTTTTTTTTTTTTTTTTTTTTTTTATGTACAAAGCTTCCAAATCATACGACTTGCATACATAGTGGGGTTTTCATTTAACCTTTTATTTTACCCCTCAAAAACACACAGGAACAAATGAAGAATAGTACGGAAAGTAGCTCCTCCAGAGATTGAAAAAATCACATATGTCTTCACATCACACTTGTCTACTTTTCTTCCCTATAAATCTACATTTAATCAAACAGAAAACAGGAAAAAAAGCCATTGACATTATGGGAGAATAGCAACATCCTAGCATGTGAGGTAGCAATCATTGCCAGCATCTCTATATCTTAAATTTGAAGCAGAAACTCAGTTAAAACTCAATTTCCTATTTACAGGTTGAAATCTAAAGAAATCAGCTGCCTAAAACACTTTCTACTAGATATATTATCTGGCAAAGCAGTTTAACCTTTGAGGTTCTAACCTTATACAAATTGAAAAATGGGTGGTCAACATAAATGAAATGAACTAGAATGGTTATAATCAAACAGGTAATTATCTCTAAGCAGTTAAAAAGCTTACATTCACTGGCCAAGGGAAACGGTAGTGATTTAAAAGCTGAAATCTCGCCATATCATATTCTCTTACACCAGAGTCATTGTTGGATGCCATTAAATGGGTCCCACCCCTGCCAAACAGATTTTAGATCAACCTATCCCATTGAGATAACAAGTCCTCCAAAATAATTAGGAATAATCATACTACCTCGCACTGTCATATATCTCAACAGCATTTGTTATGGAATTATCATCACAAGTCATCCGGGTACAAAAGCTTACTCCAAGCTTATCCAAGCGCTGAAGCAGTAAATAAAAAATCAATGTCAAGAACATAAAAGAACTTCTATAAAAGCAAGGAATATAAAATGAAAAAAGTCTGTATAATTCCAGAATGCACAAAACTTTCTGCCATATCCAACATAAGCCACAACCCCAGCCAGTAAACTACAATGAATATTAACATGATTATTTTTAAAGATCATGAAAAGAACCAGGACAAAAAAGCAAGCAAGAGAGCACAGTCATCAATGTAATTATACCATTACAACAAGAGCAGATACAACTAATATATGACAAAACTGACAATGAAAATAAATTAATTTTAAAAACAAATACAACTCTATCAACTAAAATAGTCGAATAACTTTTGCACACACAACAAAGAAAAGCAATGAAGATAGCAATCCATAAACAACTAAAGGGACTTCCATTCAAAAGAATATATGGAGCAGAATCCAGAAAATCAAGAGTTAAGGAAAAAGTTAATAAAATACAAGTGATAATTATAAGCATAATCATGATTTTTTTTTTTTTTTAATAGAAGTATAATCATAATTCCCGAAACTGTTTATACAATAAAAATCTTAGTTGCAAAAGGAACCTCTATTATCTTAACGATTAAACACTATCGGCTTTTCAAGCTGCGCTACTAGTTACAATAACAAGTTTCACTGAAGAAGCAAAGTAAAATTTATACTTTTGACTTGAACTTGTCATGTCCAATTGATAAAATGCCAACAGCAGAAGCGGCTTTAGGTTGCTGACAGTGTTTAAAAAATTTATGTTAGTCCCTAAAGTTCCCCTCAGCTTTCTTGCCTATTTGTCCGCTTGACACAAGGGTATCCCCAGAGTAAAAATTTCAACTGTTAGCCCCATTTATACAATGCAAGAAAATTCCACTACTCATATGTCCAGATGCAGCTACAATTAGTGCAGATTCCCAAGATTGGACAAAGATTTGAATATGCAAACTAAATTCTGGACAATCCTAATCGCAAAGAATAAACAATTTTGAAGACCTAGAATAGTTCTAAATTGACAACCTAGGAAAAGTTGGATGCCCATTCCTTCACAAATAAAGTTTCTTCACTCACTTAATTCTTTTAACAGTTCATTTGATTTCTTTAGTCACGCTCAGTTGTAATGCCAGTCAAAAAGGCTCTCAAAAGGTTAGGAAGAGAAAGAAATATAACTGAATACTCAATAAGAGAAACCTTAGCCTGACAGGGTTAAAGGGTAAACAATTGGAAGAACAACACATGCTTCATACCATGAACAGTTTAAGTGCAAGAGGAGTTTGAGATTTTCTTGCAAAGTCTGGAACCCCTCTCCTATACCTTTTCATCACTTATTATTTGATTCACATTTGATACTTGTTCCACTAAATGGAGAATATTTGGTGTCAAAACAATTATGCTTGGCGGCTAATTGAGAACATGACGCTTCTGTTGCCTGAATGGACCGACTTGACAAGTGAACACCTTAGAAACACTAGGATGCCAATTTCTTTAGAGGCCTAAGACTTCTTATGTTTGGTCTCCATTAACACAAATCAGTTGTTTCTTCTGCCAAAATAGCTGTTTTTTTCAATAGCCTAGTTTAATTTCCCCAAATTTCTCCAATGCAATCCTTGAAAACTCTTCCTAGGGGCAATTGTGATGACAATCATGTCATTCATTAATAGAAATCCTATGGATGAAAGGACTTCTTACCTGTCATGTACTACAAGGTTCAATGGAACCAGGCTTCTTTACTACCTTAAAAAACTCAACCATCAAATTGTTTAGATCCAAATTACTGGAATATTCCTCCCACATTTATTTCAAGACATATAACCTTTCCTTCAGTCGGAAGGGTCATGGCAGATAAAGCATGGTTAGCAGAATAGACTAACATTACACTCAGTGTTGTAGTTTGTATAAGATGTTTAAGAATAGAGGATGAACAGTTTTATTTTTACTATAACATAAAATAAAGTTTAAACTTCCAAATATTTGTATAAAAATTTACAGATTGGTCAATATATGTCATTACATAATATATAAAAGATATTCACATTAGTATAACTTCAGATTGCATATTCAAGTTAACATAAAAAGGTCAGAAATGGTTGTTAGCCCTAAGGCTTTTAAAGCTTGATTTTGATATTAAAAGAATATTTGACGAAAATCTAATAACAGAAAAGCAAAAGGAAGGAGAAAAGAAAATAAAACAAAGATCATTGCTCATATCTAGCAAGAAAGAAAAAGGAAACACAAAAACTAGAAGCGTATACATATATATTCACTAAGATATCTTTATAGGGTTTAAAAGCTGTGGAAAAAACTGCAAATGAATCATTTCACCTTGCAAATTAGCTCTCCTTGGAAACCGCCTGCAACCATAAAATTATCCTTCACTGCCAGAGTGCTTATCTGCGTTTGCGTAAAACCTTCTAATAAACTCCCCGCATGTTTCTACATTGCCAAATAGTTAAAGTTACAAACTACTTCAGAAAATATATATGTTAGTGAGATAGAATCCACCCAAGATTTACTGTATGAAACAGAAGGAATTACTCAAATTATGTATATACTAAAAGATTAAAACAAGCCTACTGTTAAGCATAAGCCTATCAATTACTCAATTTACTCCCTAGATTATAGCCATATTTTATTATATAGAATTTTCGAACTCAACCCGTTCACTGAAAACATTGAAAAAATTTCCTTTGAAAGAAATTTTCTTCAAAGAACTTTTTCCAGTTCTATAAGTTAACTCCGTAGCAAAACTAAAGGTGCACCCTTTTGCTCTAAATATAAGATTCGTTATAGTGGCTAATGGGATAAGATAACGAAGTAATTTGTATACCTCATTAGGGGCTATATGTCCTGCGAAATTGAGAATCTCCGACAAATTGGAAGACACTGTTGACCAATGCATGACTGAATAATTGGACATGAGGTAAACATCATGTTTCGAAGTAGCCCAGACCAAGTTCCTGAGCTGCATACCAATTACAGAAAAGTTATCGAAACAATGAAAAATATAAAGAATACCAAATTCAGCCATTACAACAACATCAGATATTGCCAAACTACGGATATCAAAGAAAAATAAATACACAATGACTATAATACTCTTAAGGGGAGAAGTACTTTAAAAATCTCCCCTACATGAGCTTTTCAACATAAACTGTATAACATGAAAATATTTTCAGGGAACAAAAAGCTTGCCACACACAATCAGAATAAACTTTTTATTTGTTTTTTCTTATTTTGCAGCTTTCCTTGGGTGCCAAAGGTATCAGAAAGAAAAATCACAAAAGTAAAAGTAACACTCAAGGCAGAGTTAGCACAAATGTGAAAACTTGTCCAATGACATTCCACCCACTACTATTTCATTCCACAACAAACCTAAATTAATAACCGTGTTAACTATATTATTGCTGTGGTTAAATAAGCTCAAGATTCCACTTCCAAGAAATTGAAGATCAAAGTTTAACATTATTATGAGATACAAAAGTGAAAGGGGGCAACTATCTTCCTACAACAAGGGATAAAACAAATACAGATCAAACACCCACATAGCCAATAACTAACCCTTGCCATATAATAAAACTGAACCGGAAGTGAGGTAAATGCAAACTTAACAGTGATTAAATGAACAAATACATGAATAAATGTACAAAAATTTTCTAAACAACAATTGAAATGCAGCTAAAAAGTAACAAAATATAGCACTTAAAAAAAATTTACAAACCTGGAAATGAAGAATAGTAGGCTTAACCAATCTGGTGTTATGAAAAAACTCATAATAGTTTCCACTTTTTTGCGTTTGTTTGCATTCCTAAAACAACAAATTTAAATCATAATCAAAAAATTTAAATTCTCTCACCTTCCCGAATAAACCAAAAAATAATAATAAAAAAATTCATACAAAATTGACAAACCTTGTCCACAGCTTCACCAGATGAAGGAACGTTCTCATAATTCTTGTACTGCTGAAGCCTCGTCAATCTGTAACTCTCCCTCGTTATATTCAAACTCTCCCACGGAATCCCCTGTATGTCCTTGCCTCTCCGCGCTTGAGCCGCCGACGTATCAGTCACCTTCGTCAGCTGCTTCAACAAAAGAATGATTAAAAAAATTAAATATAGGACGACGTCTTGGGTCTAAAATTTGAAGAAAAGTAAGATAAAGAAAGGTAGGGAAGAAAGTTTTAACCATGTCGTATTCATTAAGCTCGTTTTCAGCGGGAGCTATAAAGTAATTTTCATCGTCCATAAAATCGGCCATGTCTGGTTGGTTCGTAATGGAATGCCTCCAAGGACATGCTATTGAAGAAATGAAGTTGAAAAGTAGAGAGGAAGGTGAAGATGAATAAAGTGTGAGTTTTAGTAATGATAATTAATAATTGAAGGAGAGAGTTGGGTTTATCATTTGTCGGCTAAAACGGTTTGTTTTATTGATGGAGAGAGCACGCAAACGTCATGTTTTTGTGTGTTTGTAATTGAGAATGAGAGAGAAGGTTTTCTTTTACGACTGTTATTTCAATAATCAAGACGACTACGTGGTCCCTATTTTTTTATGTCTACGTGGCATTTCCATTTAAATTGCTTATCCATTCATGGCAATTGATTGAAGATTCCATTTGGGCCTTGGCTTTTCACACAGGAACTCGTTTTAATAACGTAAATACATAATTCAGGTCACAANTTAAAGGAGAGAGTTGGGTTTATCATTTGTCGGCTAAAACGGTTTGTTTTATTGATGGAGAGAGCACGCAAACGTCATGTTTTTGTGTGTTTGTAATTGAGAATGAGAGAGAAGGTTTTCTTCTACGACTGTTATTTCAATAATCAAGACGACTACGTGGTCCCTACGTTTTTATGTCTACGTGGCATTTCCATTTAAATTGCCTATCCATTTATGGCAATTGATTTAAGATTCCATTTGGGCCTTGGCTTTTCACACAGCAACTCGTTTTCATAACGTAAATACATAAATTAGGGTCACAATCTTCTCTCAAAACTTTTGATACGTTATACATTGATCATAATTGATCAATTCATAAAGGAGTAGATGGAACCCATAACAAGTAAAAAAATTCATTTATAAATTGATCAATTATGAGTTTTCATAACAAGTAAAAAAGATTTATTTATAAATTGATCAATTATGAGTTTTCATATCAAAAATTGTGAGAGAAACTTTTAATATTGAGTTATGGACTAAACATTATTTATTTAACAATTCTAATATGTATTAATTAATTTAATATATAACTATAGTGTATACTATATAGTCTATAGATTATAACTCTTCTCCTTACCAATTTTTATTAAATAAAAACGTTAACATTTTAGATTCATTTTCACATCTAATTAAATCTTAACCATCCATTTACGTTAGTCTACCATAGGGTTGTAAACGAACCGAGCTATCCGTGAACAGCTTGATGTTCGTTCAATAATAGCTTGATGTTCGTTCAATAACAGCTCGATTCGACTCGATAACAAACTATTCACGAACAGTTTGATGTTCGTTTGATAATGTGTTCGATACGAGTTCAAACATGGGGTATTGATTTGATTATGTTCACGAACATATTACATTCAAGTGATCCATCCGTTTGCGAACACTTTATTCGCTTATTCGTTTGTTTATGTTTGAAAACATGATATATATTATTATATATATTTATATGGTACTAAGTTTATTAAGGATTTTCTATGACTTAGTGTTAAAAATATAATTCTTTTGACTTTAAAGTCCTTAGTCCGAGTTGCATTAATATCATATTTATATTTTTTTTTCTTTTTTGTATAATGTTTGGTTTAGTTTGGATGAATTTTTTATAATAATAATCAATAATAAAATATTATGATGTTTTTGTTTTTTTATACATATAATATGTTTGAATTTTTTTTTTTTTAGATGTCATCAATAATTGAATATATAAGTATATAACATTTTAATTAATAAATAATAAATTATTATAATACATAGCATGACAAATTTAATAACATAATAGATTGTATCATCAAGTGATAAATAACATAACAAATTTAATAACATAATAGTTTTATATTTTTTCAAATGTAATCAATAATTAAATATTATAAGATAGCATTTCAATTAATAAATAACAAATATAATATGGTAAATTGATGAATATAACATATTGTATAATTAAGTGATATATAATATGACAAATTTAATAACATAATAGCTTAATTATATACATAAACCCAATAACCAACAAACTAACTTGCCCATCCCAAATTTGGTGTGTATTTTTTATTCGAATGAGTTATTCAAACATGTATTTACAAGTTATTCAAACGATTAGTCGAATGATCACAAACAGCTCATTTTGTTAATCGAACACAGAATTTGTTTGAGTTCCAACACGATTTCGAACAACCCTTTGTGCTTATCGAACGATTTTCAAATGGGGGCGTTCGGTTCGTTTGCAACCATAGTCTATTGACTTTATTGATTGAAGGAAATTGGAACGAGTATGGGCTAACCACAATGTTTTACATTGCTCTTACGATTAATTGTAATATGATATTGTGAGGATTATGCTCTTGTGTGATGAAACAATCAATCAAGGCTTATATCATCAATAGTTATATGATTTTATGAAATTTTGTAATTTGTCGCAATTAAACACAATGATTCTTTTGTTTCTTTTTTTCAGTTTCAACTTGATTTTCATTTGAGATTGAGTTGTATATGAGATTCTATGTTAAATTATTTTTTCACAAATATTTGTCTATTACAAAAATATTAATGATCCATTTTATAACTTATGGATCATTGAACTTAAAAACCTGAAAGTTAACCGGCGTATCCGGACCAGCTTACATATAACTCAAATAATCCTCAAGGTCCATTAAAAATTCTACAAGTCCAAAGGACCAAATAAGTCATAATATTATTGTAGTATGTAACCTCAATATTTGATTATAGAAACTCAAAGAAAGAAGCCAACCTCTTTTAACTTACTGACTAACCCCTTACAAGCAAGGGCGGATTTAGCCCTTTTGAGGGTAGACCCAGGCCTATCCTCAAGTTTTAAAGAAAAATTATTAGTATATAGACCCACAAAAATTGTTATTAACATATATACCCAGACCATCCTCGAATTTAAAAAAAACGAAAATTATTATACATATATTTAGACCCACAAAAAACTTGTTATTAATATATATTTTCCAAGCCCACATCATATTAAAAGTTTAAAACTCTCTCCACTCTTCTTCTGGCTCCACCTGCTTTTTATAATTTTATCCCCAAAATTTTTTACTCTCTCATTCTCTCGTTCTCTTCCTCATGCTATTCAATCTTAAAACTTTTAAGACTGAAATTGTTGAAGCTTTCACTACTCAAGATGTCACAATTAGTTCTGTTTTCTATTTTATCAGTTTTAGGTATGTGTATTACTCATTTCAATTTAGTTTATTTTAGGGTCAAATCGTGCTCTTTTTTTTTTTTTTTTTTTTTAGGTTTTTTATTCTAATTTGAGAGGAAAAGACATGGATCTTGTGAGTTTATTTTGTGTTTTGTGTCTAAGAATGAACTTGTTTTCCCAAATTAAAACTTTAACTATATTTTAAAACGTTACCATCCTGCTACTCAAAATAAATAAATAAATCTAAGTTACTATCTATGTTTATATCAAGAATTTTTTTTATTTTTATTCATTCATATTAAAAGTCAATGCAATGTTGACTTTATTTAAATTTTGGTTGACTTTAGTTTAGGTTAGGTCTGGTTAAAGTCATGAAAATTTATATTATAATCTTTAGAAACAAAAAAAAAAAAAAAAAAAAAAAATTAGAAGAAGGTTTTGCTCAAGGTTTACTTAACTCATTTACTCAAATTTTTGCTTTTCATGAATTTATTCAAATAGGAAAGTATTACGTTGTTGCATTCTTTTTTCTTAGGTTCTTGATATTGTATTATTTTCTTTGCTTAAGGTTTCATGATTTTATTTTTAAAGTTTTTACTAATTGTTTAACAAATAATAACGGAGCCGCGGAGGCCCTCCCTCGACAAAAATCCTGGATCCGTCACTGCTTACAAGTTCACCTCTTGAATCTTGTTCCTATTAATTTAGTTTAGTTACATTTTTTTATTGTTTGTATTAAATTATAGTCCATGAATGATAGACGCAATAATACGCCTACTAAAATACGTGGCTATTTTAGGTGAAGTATGACTTACTACAAGCTGTTCAACAACAACAAAAGCAAATTAAAATTATTTATAATCACAAAATCTATTAATTAATATTTTTAAAAATATAACTGATGAGACGATTTATAGTTTAAAGAAACATATCAATTATTCACAGCAGCAAAATTATATATTTTTCAGTAATAATTACCATATTTCATGCAAGCTACCATTTATGACTAATTTTATATAATTATAATTACGAGTCTTAGTAATTTGTGGTATGTAATTTAGTTAATTATTTTTATTATTTGACTCTTAGTTATCATATCTTTTATTTTTTTATTTAAGAAATCCAATTATAAAAATAAAGCATAGTTGACGCATTCTAAATTAAAGGATCAATTATCGTCTTTAAATTGCAAGTTACTGGTTTAGTCTTCATTTTATTTTATTACCAAAGTTTAATTTCGGAATATTTTATCATTTTGTGAGGTGATGGAATGTTAACATAATAAATTAATTTCAGGACGACCATTGAATTATAATACCTAAAAAAGTTAGGTGATGGTGATGGAATTTATTTCAAAAATGAATGAGCACATCAACATTCCTAGCCGACTAAAGCCTCTAATTTTGACTAATTCCTTAAATTTAATTAATTAATTTGTCTTTTAGGTTTCGTATAAGTACTTAACAAGTGAAAAACTATTATTAATTAACATTCACGTTTGATTACCAACTAAACCCCCCGGGGGTGTTTGGATCATATAATGTTTTATTATAGGGAGATATTATATTAACGGAAAGAAAGATTACCTTGAAGATTACTAAGAATGTTTAAAAACTGTGTTTGGTTTTTCAAATAAATTGGTGAATAATATATTTGGTTGGGAGGATAAATGGGTGGGAATGTTATATAGATTACCAAATTGTCCTCATTTTTAAATATTAATATAATAGTATTTTTTTACTATTATTTTTTGAACCTTTTTTTTAACCCCTTACTTTTCAGATTTAGCAAAAACACCCTAGCAACCAAAAGCACCCCTACCCACCCCAGCCACCACCGCCAGTAGCCACCGACAGTGCCACAGATCTAGTTGTGACGTTGACAATGCCACAGATCTGACCGTGAATGGCCAGGTCTTTAGTTGTGAAACGA